TTTCTTTTTGTCAATTTGACATAGAATACGGACGTTGAAAGCTCTTATGTGGAAAGGATCTCGTGGATTTAGAAATGTGTTATTTTTTTAATGTTTGTGCCTTTTGAGCAGCACCAGGCTCTTCGGCTTTAAAAGTATTGGATAATGCGTCGGCGGTCACGGTCAACTGTTGGGCGATCGGAGTGTGCGGTTTTTGGGGCCGGTTTTCTAACCCGTCCTTCCTCGGGGGAAGGCAGCATCGCTGCTTCCATAAATATGGACACACACATATGATCCATTGTATTCAATAACGACATAAAGCTTTCAGCAACAAGCGTGATAAAGCAATCCACGCTTAATCTTCGAGAATTACAAGTCACCACATAAAAACACCTATATCAAGTGACCATGTATATCTAAGATAATTAACCCATCTCCATCGGTATGTTCTGTCTTGACTGGACCGAAGTAGGCGACATGGTCCACGTGAGGACAGCAAGTCTAAAACAGTAGAAATATATAGTGTGACACAAACATCCCGTATATTAGATGGAGATGTAATCATCAAGTTGGACAAGACATAAATTTCTCCAGATTCTGCAGCTTGGCTGGGGTTAAATAAGCTCTCAGGATTGGGACTCAGTATCTTGGCGCCTGCAATGCAACATTGAGAATACGTCTACTAAGAATATTCTAAAACCGAATGACGACTGCCTTTTGGCTATGCAGTAAACTCACTGTAGACCATTATGCGACACATGCAAGAAGCAAACACCACCAGACTCCACCTACCTTAGCCCAGATAGCGTATTTTGCATTTGTATATTTCAAAGACAACATACAATTTCAAAATTTAGTGTGGCGTTTTGGTGACCAACTGTTGTTTTACAGAACACGTACGACTGATTTTGCTACGTGGACCGCGCTTGGTGCTTCTTGCATTAGAGAAGTTGTTTCACCACGTGATCATAAGTTTTGAAGATACTCCAGGGGGCGACATTGTGCTTTACGGCAACTGATATAAAGAACAGTGTCTTGTTTCTTATATATAATCAATCTATAAACTCTGCAAAGGTTGTGGAGAATCACTAATTCGCCGACTGGAAAGTGTGACCCATCTACCTCTGTTAGATTAGTAGAATTCAAGCTCAGGTAAAATCAGTTAAAATACTGGTGATGAAAAATATGGACCTAAAAAAGCCACTCCTTTAGTACAATATTTGAACGCAGAATTTATTTTCACACTCTTCCTTGGGTGTTTTAAAATACAATTCAAAACGACGTCGAAATGAGTCATTTCTAACCTATTCATTTTAATCGTGAATGTTAGTTCAGTGAACTGTATTCGCTGTAATCCATCTGCACGACTCGTTTACATATCACTCAGGTGTTTATTGGAAGACACATTTCAGAGCTCTAAATTGCAAGAAGCTGACGACTGCTTTTCGTTTGTGTACTAAAAGTCAATCTCTGTCATTAAAAGAATAGGCTTTCGGTAGAGTTACAGTTCCTGGCTAGAAAGGTTCTAAGTTGCAGTCACCGGGGTATGTTGCTTTTCCATTGGTTTGATTCAATAGTTATCTCAGAAAGCCCGTTTGTATATAGTCCGTTATTTTGTCCCGAATTCGATTCACAGTTGTGTATATTCAAGGGTGCCTTGTTCCAACGGATTTCAAGAATCAACTGGCCTCATTGTTGGACGAAACTTCCGAAGTATACCAACAGACTCTGGGATCAGTGTACAAATCTGTGAGTAAATGTTACATCAAGAAGATTTTTTCGAATATCCAACAAAAGAATCGACCTAATCTGTTTGTTGCTTCTTCAATCACATTACGACTTGTTTGTTTCCCAATATGTTTGCATCTATTATCTTTGGATCCTTATTCAGTATCTTACTTCGGTCGTTTTAAGTGTCTTGGGTTTGCTTTGATTTATTGCGTGACAAGTCGTTACCTGAGAAGCTAATTAATATGTGCATGTGTTATTTCGTTTCTCTGGTTGGAGGACTAGTGGTGCTATATCCTCTCTAATCGACAGCTAACCGCACTAATGACCGAAAAGTTAAGTGTTCACCCACTGTTCGGATCGTCATGGCTTCTGAACTTCCCAAAGTTTCGGGAGATGTGCACTGTCGACGGTTCTCAATAAGGATGAAACAGCTGCAAAATTATTCTTGATTTTCTAACACAGATATATCTCCCCCAACGTTCTCACCAACTCACTTATTATCGTCGGAAGAAGAACCTATTCCCTTGAGTCTAAATATGAACCAATGATTTGCATGCAGCATTACGCACGGGCTCCACACGAAATGACTGTGGATCTCTTGCTGTGTGTTTGAGTCTGGTGGTTCAAACACAATTGACAAGCGAAACCGGTAGGCGCGCCATACGGTCAAACTGGTTAACTAACTGTTTTAAGCTTACTGTTTGCGCAACACGTATTTGGTAGCTTTCAAGTGTTATACTGATAAAATAGTGCACACACGTGAGTAGGAAAACTATAGCGAAATCCGTTTCTTTACTTTTTTGTTGAGTAGTCAGTAATGGTGGTGGGCCTCAGACTGCTGGCCACAAGCAGATTAAGTTGACTGTTTACTAACTACTTACCATGTATAAGTAGATAGTTTTATTCCTCAGCTAACTCGAACGAAAGATAACTGGTTTCTTATTTTCGGTAACACAAAGTACGAGATTTGATCGGTTTGAGGAACATCATGCGGGATGAATCTCCGCGTCGATCATGACGACGAAAGTGACCAAACCTAGACATTTTGACACTCGGATCAAGAAAACCAACTCCAAAACTAGGTAGGCTTTTCGGGGTAGTCGAGGGTGGAGTAAGTACCACAGAAAGTTCGTTCAGGTGCTGCTGCCAGCAAAAAGCTGGGCTGTTGTTCGCTTGTCTTTATTTTGTCAGCTTGGATGTCCAAATATTAGGCAACACTTCCTCGGTGTGCGTTTGAATAATAAACCTAATCAATAATAGCCAATGCACAATCCTGTATAAAGCCTCCTATTATTCTTATTATACATTTCAGCTAAGCGATACTATGCGCGCATGGAAATTGGAGGACTGTGTCAGCTCACTAATAGTTGACCCATTTATGCGTAAATCGGAGCAATATCTAACGGCCATTGGGCACATTGGATTCGATTTCATTCATCTTATGAAGAAAATTCCGAACCTGTTTAAAGAAAATAACCTCGAAAAGTTCGTTGAGACATACTCGAAGAAGCCGACTGTAGGGATATACAAATTTCGAATGAAAGGTAACCAAGTGTAACACTCAAAAAAATTTTAGACAACATAAAATTTGATAACGTCTTGTAAACACAACAAATTAGCGTCTTAGACATGTACTTATAATGAACTACGCAGCCAAGATATGACCAAGTTTTGCATTAATCTAACAGGGTGCTGTGTTAGTTGCTGATTTATGCGACGGTTACCTAGCCCTTCTAATACTGTGTCTTTTAGGCCAACTTCACGTTAGTTTGAGTTTTGGTTTTGCCAACAATCAAATCTGTATAGTCGACATTTTCCTGGGAGGTCTTATATCAACAAGCAAAAAGTGCTTACTTTTCTCCTGTAACTACAAAATTTAGTGCAGTGTACTCGAATATGCTTACAATAAACGTGTCCGGACGCAGAATCAAGCAAACCGAGTGTGACTTTAGTTACTAACTAAAGATGAAGATTAGTAAAATGCAAATGATTTCCAGCACAATTTATTGTTGTGCATCAGTGAAGTCATGTGAGGTCAGATAGGGGGACGAATTCACTCGAGAAATAAGTAGGTCGGTAACAAAAAGCCGAAGCAATCCAAAGACATTAATTTATTCCTTTCTCTGTTCTTGGGGTCTATCGTATACGAAGGTAGGCTGTTTATGGTGCCATTTAATTTGTCAAACAAGACAACATCGAATGGTCCCACACGAAAATGTCCAGCGAACCAGTTTAGTCAAAAAAAGTCAAAGGGAGTAAAATTTTCCGTTTAAACTTAGGATTTGAGGTGCGATGAATTCCCTTCTCGTTTTCTAAATTGTGAGACAATGTGCTTGAGCAAAACTACCGTCCATTTTCTTTCTATTTCAGCACCTGTTCTACGAATGTCACACATTTTCTGCAGCCAAATGCTTGCATCTGAAGGTGAGAATTCACTTATGGACACTAAACTATCGTTCATTTATTCCATATTCACTCTGTTGGATTCGAATCACAAAAACCATAATAATAATAATAATAATAATAATAATGATACTTTAACTTCCTACAATCTCTTCAGTCTACCACAGCAGCGTAAACAAAGTCTGTCCAACTGTCTGTAGCATGTCGAATGTTTTGGAAGAACCCTATAATCTGCCGCAAATCTGTACTCAAGAGTAGCTAGCTATAAAAAAAGCAGCTATGTTGTGATTTCAAAAGGGCTCTGGTTAACGTTTATAGGCAAACATTTTTCACCTAGACAGTGGCCGATAATGCCCTACGAAATGAATGGAGAAATCAATGTTTTCCGATCGATGTATTGGTGACTACCCTGCCGCGACACCTTATGTAGAACGATCATGAAGCTCACAACCGTCATCTTTTTGAGAGCCGGCTAGCGACAGAGTGGTTCACAAAATAGGTGATCAAAAGCTTGTGGCATAGAATACTATCCCACAGATTGTCTAAAAACCTGGCTTGAACCAAATTCAAACTGAGTACCAGAGTGTTAGAAATCACAGCAACATTGTTGCAATTTGGCAGCAAAAAGCACACAAAACTCGCATGGTCGCAGAGGTCTTTGGATTGAGGTTCATCAGGTTTCCTGGAGCTGTTGCAAAGCTTTCCAAATCAGCTATCACGAGAGCTCGAGTTTCTTCACTGCGTTGGGAACGGCTTGCATACCTCCATTGAGATGCGCATGAAAACTGTTGTACGAATATTGGCTTGTTTATGTCAAAATCTACAGGCCGTCCTGATTTTCCGCCGCGAAACTTTGCTAGGGTAATCATGCAGAAATACAATGGGAATAGACTATGCGATTACCAAGTTTTTCTGGTTTTAAAACAATATAACCGCTCATGTTCATGCGGTTTTCAAGCGAAATGTGGTTATGCTAATACTCTAAAGTGACTCACTTTGGAGTTAGACACAAAATCTGGATGATATCTATAGAATAAATCCTCAAAGCTGTTATTCGAATGACTTGAGGTTATGAAGATTCGCTAACTGTCTTGAGTGTACGCTTGTTCCAAATCGTGTACATCCGTAAGTGGGTTCAGCATAGCAGGTGCGGGTTCGCAAACATTAATTTGCATACCTGTTGGGTTTGAACTCAAAACAACTGAATCCAGTTGGATCACCCGTGGGCTGGGGCTATGTGACGAACCACGAAAAGGGCGGAACTGGTAGTAGGCTGTCGATGGGATGTTTTTTGCCCAACGTGTTTGATTGGATCCGTCCAACTTCGGCTGTGTCCAGTAAACTAAAGGCGCACGTAATTGCCCGGTCAACTACACTCAAGTTTTGTGGCATTCACCTGTAGGCCGGGTGGGTCAGATACTCAGATAGATCATTCATAAAAAGCAGTGTTAATCTTAAAGAAATATGTGGACTTGATCTGATCCGGCTGCGTGAAACTCGTAACTTGATGACTGAGATCCTCAGATGAGGAGACAAAACATTAGTAACGAATTACACTAAGCATAAAACTGGTCGACTTTCCAGCATATTTGACTCTGCAAAGAGGGAACTGTTGAAGCAGAGTGATTGGTTGTTTCACAACTGTTTCGCTGTAGACAACAAAGGCAGAAGAAGTTTTTCAGATACATGGGTCGTTGATCTGCAGTGCTTTCTCAACAAATCTCTCGCGGCGTTTACTCTGACTCACGTATGATTTGATGTTACTAGCAGGCTAGTGCCACTATATAGCTTGAGAAGAAAGTATAAAGATGGAGGATCAAGTAATGTCTGACCTCCTTTAAACAGATGCTTCACCAGGATTTAATTCTGTGAGTGATCATCAGCCGCACCCAGTTAAGGTGCTCGCATTTGCATGGGCGGGTGTTGTAACGGGTCAAAATAATGAAGTTTGCCGCTTTTTATCTGGATATTTCCCTAACGTTATTAGCATGTACATGTATTTGCTGGTTTAACTTTATACTACGTACTGTCTCTCTGAGATTTGATGTTTTTTGTGAAAGCATCCGCTACGCGATGAAGAAGGACCGCCTCAATCTGGGTGGTCCCTGTTTACTCAGGAATTGCGACAAGTGAAGCCGGGTAGTGAACCCACAAAATACATTCATTTGCATTCTACTTTTTGATTTCAACGAGAGATCTAGCTAAATTATAACTAGGGACTGTTCAAACCTAAAATGCACGACGAAGGGTGGAACCGGTTCTGATAATCATTTAAATCGTGTCCTTCCTAGGGTGGTATATATTTCCTTGTTCTAGTCGGCTGAAAAGTGGTGTGCCAAAAATTCAACCTGCATATTACTTAATCTCATGTACACAATATGATGATTATGACGATTGGCCTTCTGTACGTCCTGATGTTTGGTACTTGCGGAACCTTATTTTTCATAACAGACGAAAGCAAACATGCAAAAATAAACTCGGGCATAATAAGAGACAATGCGATTTACAGCCACGAAAGCCGGTCGCGACGAGATAAGAGGTGTCATAAATCAACTGAATTATCAGACTCGTAGGATTCGATTACCGACAAAAAGCCGTGGTGCGCACTCAACTGCGCACTAATGATGTTTCCTCGTATGGTGACGAAACGTTTGCAAGCCAACTGCCAAGCTCGGCAAACAGATCAACAGCCACCTGATCAACAACCAATAAACTCACCCGATCTATCAATATTTCAACAAATTACCAAGTTCATCCTGTATATACCTGTGCTAATAGTGTGGGTGGTAGCTGGAATCCTAGACTTATTTGCTACTGGTACTTATTAGCAAGGGCACAAATTTGCAATCATTTGTGCGCTCACTCTGTCCACTTAGCCATATGTTAATTTTTATTGTTGATATATTTACTTCGGAAGGAAATGCGGACCACTCAGCTCGCACGCTTAGATTAGGTTGTGCGGAAATGTAATTTCCAAAGTTAACTCCACTTCCACTGAGAGTGAGGCCGTTATCCCACAGTTATTGGATGTATGATTGTAAAATGTGTAAAAACGATGATTCGGTCAAATTCCACAGGTTAGTTTAGGGGTACAAACTAATCTTCAAGTAAGACGAAAGCGGTACTATGGTGAAGCTATCAATTAAACCGCAATAATTTACAAAGTTTGGCTGAAATAGTGATTTCAACCAGGTCGGGATAGAAACAACCAGGCGCGTTTCAAATCAGGAAAGCTTAGTTAATTGTGCACAAGCAGGGGAGAACAGCCAATCCGATTACGTTCGATGTCGCAGTGGTTTTGACAATATCAACATAACGAGGCGCCCGGAAACAAGACTGTTCTTCAAGGACTGCAGGAATTTGCTTGGAAAAAATTATCAAGGACAAGCGTTACCATAAAAGTTCCATCTCAAGTATTCCTGTAAAAATGAATGAGATAGTTCACAACAAAATCGCGGCAACTGGAGCCGTTACGAATAGCAGAGCATATAATTGAGAGGATTTCCTAAGAGAACACTGAGAATTGGGCATTCATCCCATTCGAAAATATAAGAAATCAGGAATGGATAATTAAAAAATGACTTCAGTATTTGAGGAGAATGTTGATAACTCAGGTAGGGCAGATGGTAATTGGTTTGTATGCTATGCTGCGCACAGTGAGAATCCCACCGCCACACTCCACCACCCTACTTACCAACGCACTGAAGATGTCCACTCGATTGGTGATTATTCGTTTGCTGTCAATTTGCCCAGCGTGCACGGGTCAGAAAAGTCAACCAAGTGGAAAGCTTAAATTTGTTCTGGAATCTCCTGTACATCAAAGTTTCACCACGCTACATAGAATAGACCCATTTTTACGCAAGTGAACCGACAGAGAATACCAAGCACTGAGCCTACTCTACTGGTTATATGCACGATTTAATCTAATATTCTCCGACGAAGTGAAGCTCCCGCAATTCATGGACTCAAAGCAGGGAGAATAATACGTCACTTTGGATACTTACCTTTGCACACTTAATTATTTGCCGAAATACTGTCGTCGAATTTCAAAAAAATGACATTTCAAATTCAGCACAATAAACGTTTGGTAAAATTAGGTTTATGGGCCTGCGAATTAGTAAATTGGTTCGACATCATCATCTCCATAATCATCAT